CCCCAGAACACTGTCCCTAAAGACAATGCACCCACAGCCCAGGATGGGAAGGAGAAGGGCCTAGCAGGCTGGATGCCAGGAAAGGACCCTGAATCCCTCCATTCTCTGTTCTCTCTTTCTGGAACTCCTCCTACATTGGTGCTAGACCTGGACTAACCTCTGGCTGCCAACAGTCCTCTCTCTCCTACTCCTAGGAGATTTCCTCTCGGTCCATCTTCCAATCCTTCTGCTCCGTTTTTCATTCCTATCACACTTGTACTTTCCAGGGCTGTTTCTTTGTTCCCAGAGTGCTTTCCTTCCCGTTGCATGAGAGGATTAGTTTGTCTGTTTGAAGATCCTGATGGTGACGGCTGGAGATTTCTTCTTGCCGCAGGTCTCTGGGTTGCTGGGTTCCGTATGTCTGGCCTCTGTCTTCAGGGTCAGAGCCTTTCATCACATGTCCAGGGACCCTTCCTGGCAGCTCATGACTGGGCGTGGGGACTGAGAGTGGATGGAACACTCAGAGACTGTGGAGGGGATTGTCACCGGAGCTTTTCGGAAGGTCGCTATCTCCAGGTCTTTCCTCGTGGCTGGTCTCACCCGTCAGGAAGGATGGCTCCAGCCCTGCCCCCGGGACCACCCTCCTGGGACCAACAGAAGAAGAGGGTGGGTGTCCACTGATTTCCCCAGCCTCCCTCTCTGGGGCACGGTGCCCACTCCCCGTTGTGTGGGAGGCCCAGACACCCTCGGTCTCCCAGCTTTAATAATACACCACCCATGTCTGGCTGGGGTGCAGGAGGGCTCCGGACACCTCACTGCTTCTCACATGGCTGTCTGGGTGCCTGATACTGCCAGGCTGGGTGTCGAGAGGCCTGTGCAGTATAGACCTGGCTACTCCCAGCTCCCCCTTTCCTGTTGCCTCCACTGCTGTCCTCCCCGTCGTGGGCTGCTGGAGATCTGTTTAAACAATCTCCCTACCGAGGCTTTAGCCAGTTACAGACAGGAGTGAGACCAGAAGCTCCAAGCTCATCCTCCCTGACCCCCCACCCCACGAGTCCACTCTGGGCCAGTGTCCAGGCTGCCTCCTTCAGAAGCCTCCTCATGTCTCTCCAAGGACAAGAAAATGCCTAGCCATACCCCGTCCCGCCTCCTCAGCACACCACTCCCAGCAGACTCAGAAACTCCACCCATTTGGTTCAGCAAACAGTCTCTCTACACTGACGGTGTGGCAGTTCTACTCTAGGGCTATAGATGTGGGCCCCACCCTAGTGAGCCACTGTCTGCTGGGGAAATGGGCACAGAAGCTAGCCACCAGAACAGCCGTAAAGACAGGAGAGCACAGGGGCCAGGGGGCTGGGGGGTGAAGCAGACCCAGAGCCAGGTAGGCTATGCAGGGAAGGCCCCTGGGCAGTGTCTCCACTGGGGGCATCTTGGGTCTGCCAGTAGCCACCAGTAGGTCTCCAAAGCTGAAATGGCACAGTGGGAGGTGGGATGGGGTGGGGTGGGGCAGAGAGCAGTGTGGCCCATGGGCAATTTCCAAGGAGGTAAGAGGATGATGCGTCTTGACATGTAATGCAAAGTGTGACCCAGGAGATAAGAGGCTCAGTGCTATGGTTTGAACGTGTCCCCCAAAGTTCCTGTATTGGAAACTTAATCCCCAATGCAACAGTGTGGAGAGGCGGGACCTTTAAGAGGTGATCTATGGACTAACACTGCTATCATGGGTGTGGATTAGCTATCTCTGGAGTAGGCTCTTGATAAAAGAATGAGTCCAGCCCCCTTCCTCCCTCTCCTGAGAGTGTTCTCTTGCCCTCCCACCTTCTGCCATGGGATGACACAGCAAGAAAGCCCTTACCAGATGCTGGCACCTCAATCTTGGACTTCCTAGCCTCCAGAACCGTGAGCAAAATAAAAGTCTATTGTTTATAAATGACCCAGTCTCAGGAATTCTGTTATAGCAACACAAAATGGACCAAGATACTCTGGAAGCTTCCAGAACACAGAGCCCTCAGCAGTGACATGTCCCCATCACAACTGGTAGAAACTGATGGGACCCAATTTCTATAGTGCCCCCTGGCCACTGACCTCAGACCCAGCCCAGGCTGGTGCTAGAAGAAAGACACAGACACCACAATTTCTACGCAGCCCAGGCTATGAGGAGAGGCAGGGCAACCTCAGACAGGGAACCCCTCCAGTCAGGATGCCCTCCCAGGAAGGACACACCCCAGGCAGGGCACCCCCCCAGGAAAAACACCCCCCCAGACAGGGCACACCCCCAGGCAGGGCAACCCCCAGGCAGGGCACTCCCCCAGACAGAGCACCCTCCCAGGAAAGACACCCCCCCAGCCAGGGCACCCTCCCAGGAAGGACACCCCCCAGGCAGGGCACTCCCCAGGGCAAGACGCCCAGGAGGGGAAGCAGGCATCGGGGAGTGTTCCCAGACCCATAACACAGAGGAAAGGCAGAAGCAGGAGTGTGTGGGGCAGCATCCAATTGCTGGAAGGTGAGCGTGAGGGGGCGGGATGGGAGATAGCAGGCTGACAAGGGACCATGGGGTTTGCGGAGCACAGGTGACGCCGGCAGAGAGTGGGGGCGTGGGCGGGGCATGGGCTGATGTAGCTGGAGCTGTGGGCGGGGCTGGGCGGGGCATGGCTGGGGTGCAGGTGGGCAGCGCAGCAGGCGGGCCCATGGGCAGAGCCGGACTCACGCAATGAACTGAGACAGGTCGCACCACTTCCACATATCCACCTTGCGCATCATGTGGGCAAAGGCCTGCCCACACTGGGACAGCAGCTCCAGCATGTGTGCTTCGTTGCAGCCGCCTGCTCGGGGACACCCACCTGGAGAGGGGACAGCCGTGGGAATTCCACTGCGTCTCACAGCAGGGTGTCCAGTGGCAGGAGGTCTGAGGGCCCATCACCCAGGTTAGGGTTGGGGTTGGGGTTAGGGTTTAGGGTTAGGGTTAGGGGAGGGCATCCAGAACTCGTCCTGAGAAGGACTCTAAGGTCTTGACCATTCCAAGACCTGCCAGGGCAGCAGAGGAGGACTCTAGGTAGTCAGGTCCACTCGGCTCTGCCAAAGCCCTCTTCAGGTTCTGGAAGGCCAGAGGCTGAGGCCACTGTAAGGATTCTTGTTCCCAGCAACAGGGACAAGGCCTCTGGTCATTCTTAGGGTCTGGCCCAGGCTCCTCACCCCAGGATTTCCCCATCGCCCTTACCCTGCCCACCAAAACACCCCGTACCCTCCACCTCATGCCTTCACTCCACGCATTTGCCCACCTGGACCATCCTCCCTCCTATGGAGCAATGCCCACCTATCCTTCAGGACCCGCCCATCCCTGTGGCCATCGCATTTCCAGGCAACAAGACCTCCTTGATCCTAAACTTCCTCCACCTGACCCCTGCTTTTGCTCTCATCATATAATCAAGGGAAAGCCCAGCCATGTGTCCTGGTGTGTTTGTGTTAATGGGTGTGTACACCGCCCTGCTGTGTTGTGTGTGTATACGGCCCTGCTGTCTGTGTACTGGTGTGTGTGTCCTGGTGTGTGTGTGTGTGTGTGTGTGTGTAGAGCCCTGCTATGTCTTGCAGTGTTATTGCTGCAGGCATTTGCTAAACGTTCACTGCTTTCCCGTATTTAGCAGAGACTTGCCAAAGGACGAATGATTGAACTCTTCCTCTGTATGCAGCTCCCCTGGGCCCGAGCAAGTGCTGGAAAAATGCCTTAATAAGGAAATGGTAGGTTCAGATCCAATCACATTCTGGGGCAATGACCCACCCCACCAGACTGCAGCGCCACTCCAGAGATCACAGGCCTCTTAACCCTAACATGAGAGAAGACCCTGAGAGCCCCTTGGTTCACACACAAGGGCCCGAGGCCACAGGGAGGGTCGAGGTGTTGGGATCACAGGGTTAAGAGCACTGGTGGCGAGTAGGTCCACCCCACCTACAGCATGCAGCCTGGGGCCCTCGCTCAGGGACAGGCTGTGCAGGTCACCCCTGAGGTGGCTCCAAGCCCACAACAGTGCTTCTGGAGGACAGAAGAGTGACGAGACAGTAGGGCAAGGCTACATGCAGCAAGCGGGACAAGAAGCTACATGCATCATGCGGCTCGGCCCAGCCCTGGTGGGGAGGCTGCGTTCACCTGGCGAAGGGCACAACCCAGGCCACCATGGGGAGGAGGTTGTTAAGAAATGCACAGGCCCCATCAGGATTGCCCAAGTGGACTTGAGCTGCCCAGGTGGCAGGCAGGGCTTGCGACAAGAGGAAGACGGGGCCCAGGCGCCCAAAGCAAGGCAGCTTCATCAATGGCCAGGAGACGGCCAGACACCAGCAGCAGTGGGGGAGTTCCCAGCAGCATATGTGCAGGCTCGCTGAGGCCATGGCAGGGGGAGGCCCCTGAAGCCCAGCCCTGTACTTCCCCCAGCCCCCAGACCACTGTCATCTCTCTCTCAGGCCTCACAGAAGCCCCAAGGGGCGCTATAACATCCACTACACAGAGAGGTCAAGTGTCTCATCCAGGGTCACACAGCTTTGGAGCAGTCACCTGTGCCTGGGCCTGCTGTCTTCCCTCACACCTCCTAAGACCCTCCTGGCTCGCTCCTCCCTGTCCCCATCTCTCATCCCATCCTCCAGCAAAAGCGAGGCGCTCACTGGGCCTTGCCCTGTTTCTCCCACTGGGAATGGCCACCCCCATCTCCCCAGGAGGAGAATGAACCACCCTCCCCCGCCCCTCCCGCACCTCACGCCCTCGGGGGCTGGTCCTGACTGCACCCCGTTGCACAAGTGCACACACATGCATACGTGCATGTGTGACCTCTCCCCCCAGCTTGGGCCTGGCACCTGGAGGTCCCCAACAGTGTTTGCTCCATAAATGCGAGAAGAACCCCAGGATCCTAGTGGTTGAATTTTCCTGAGCTATGGGCAAAGGAACTAATGGCCCCGAGGGAAGGCAGGTGGGTGATCTGGAGGGTCAGCCCTGTTCCCTGTCATCCCCCACACACTCCAGGAAGCGGCGGGAGTCTGCAGAGGCTGGCTTTCCCCCCAGCGGTCAGTCAGCTCCATGCTGGGGCCTCCTTCACCTTCCAAAGCCGACCAGGACTCACACAGCACCCAGAACCTTGGACACAGGAACACTGTCCCCAACTTCCAGTTGGACTGTCCTCAGATGCAGCTGGGGTCTCACAAGGACAAGCCTACTTGGTCCCCACAGCCACCTCAAAGTGTGTGTCCTTCCTTCCATAAAAATGGGATCAGAGACGCTGCACCACTCACCCAAAATCCCACAGCTTGTCAGCGGCAGCCTGGATGACAGCCCAGGAGGTAGACACCTGGTCATGGCCCAAGGCTTCTGATGACACCACCTACAGCTATGGTGTGGATTTTTTTAAACCTATGCAAGCCTCACTATATCCTTACAGAGGAGATAAGCAGACAGACTTTCACATCCAGTCATAACTCTTCACTCTTGGCCAACAGGAAGGAATGAAACCTGGGCCCCCCGCAGCAGGAGGAACCCCCTCTGAGAAGTCGTAACCACAGGCTGACCTTCTTGTGGATTCACAGCCCAAATCCACATGACCTGGATCAACTCAGGGAAACCCCAGGTTACATTTCAGCTTAAACTGGCCATGGACAGGCCCCAGCAGGAGAAAATCCAAACCCTCCCTGCAAGGAGGAACCATCATTGCAGCCCTCAGAAAATCACCATAATTAACTTCCCAAGGAAGATGAGCAGCTCACAATCAAAAATCAACTAAGTGGAACCTCAGCAGAAAGACCCAACAAGGGGACACAGCCTTCTGGGATGGTGGTAGGAACAGCTCATCCTAAGGGCAAATATCAAATGGAGAACATGATTCAGGAAAATTGACTACATCTCAGTAAGAACAGTGAGAGGTTGTGACATTAGAGCTGTAGCCTGATCCCACCCCATCCCCCAACTCCACTTATAGAGGCTGTACTCCAGGCAGGTGCAGCCAGAAAGCAGAGGGTCCTTTCTACCCCAGCTCCCAGTGTTGTAGTGAAACTAGTTTCACCCTTAGATGGGCAGGCATGTCTCATTCCCCTGAGCTCTGTGTTACAGGAGCTGTCTTTATTCCAGGCACATGAGGCCAGGAGGATGGAGGATCCCTTCCCTACCCAGCCCCTACTTCTAAGGTGAAGGCTCTGCCCCAGGCACGGCAGGCCAAGGACACTGGGGCCCCAACTATCCCCACCCCAGCTCACTGGTAGGATGGAGGATCCTAATCTGATGTAGCTGGTATTCTTATAAAAAGGAGAAATTTGGACACAGAGACAGACAGGCACAGAGGGAAGATGATGTTAAGACACACAAGGAGAAGATGGCCATGTAGAGATGGAGGCAGAGGCTGGAGTTATGCACAAGCCAAGGAAGGGCTGGGGCCACCAGAAGCTACAAAGAGGCAAGGAAGGAGAGTGGCCCTGCAAACACCTTGAATTCAGACTTGTAGCCTCCAGAACTGTAAGAAAATTAATTTGTTGTTTTAAGTCACCCAGTTTGTGGCACACCATTATGACAGCCCTAGGAAACTACTGTATTAGCCTGTTTTCTGTCACTGATAACAGAATACCTGAAACTGAGGAACTTATAAGAAAATGAAATCGATTTCTTACAGTTTTGGAGGCTGGGAAGTCCAAAGTCCAGGGGGGTGCATCTGGCGAAGGCCTTCTTCCTGGTGGGAACTCTCTGCAGAGTCCCATGGCAATGCAGGCAATCACATGGTGAGAATAGCAAGAACACTTTCACATCATTGCTTTTTCTGCTTATAAAGCTGCCACTCCACACCCATGATAACCCATTAATCCATTAACCCATCAATGAATTAGTCCATTCATGAGGGCAGGGCCCTCACAATCCTATCATCTCCTAAAGGCCCCACCTTTCAACACTGCCACATTGGGGATCAAGTGCCCACATGAGGTTTGGAGGGGACATTCAACCCATACCAACTATTACAGATGTGAACTACTGAAATTGACTCAAGAATAAATAGAAAATCTGAATAGACCTAGAATAAATAGAGATTGAGTTAGTAATTTTAAAACTTCCCACAAAAATAATCTCAAGCTTCACTGAGATAACCCAAGTGGCTTCAATGGTGAATCCTACCAAACATTCAAAGAAGAATAAGAGATTGAGTTAGTAATTTTAAAACTTCCCACAAAAATAATCTCAGGCTTCACTGAGATAACCCAAGTGGCTTCAATGGTGAATCCTACCAAACATTCAAAGAAGAATTAACAGAAATTATTCATATACTCTTCCAGAAAATATAACAGGCAACACTTACTTCCCCACTTTCCAACTCATTCTGTGAGGCCAGTATTATCTTGATACCAAACAAGACAAAGACATCACAAGAAAACTGCAGGCCAATGCCTCTCATGAATATAGATGTAAAAAGACCTTCAATAAATACTAAAAAACTAAACCCAGCAACATATAAAAAGGACTATACACTGTGACCAAGTAGAATTTATCCCAAGAATGCAAGGATAGTTCAACACATGAAAATTAATCAATATAATACATCACATTAATAGAATGAAGAGAGGAAAAATAATAATCATTTCAATTGATTCAGAAAAAGCATTTGGCAAAATCCAATGTCCTTTCATGACTGAAAAACACTCAATATATTAGGAATAGAATGGAATTTCCTCAACATGATAAAGATCATATACAAAAATCCCAGAGCTAACATCATACTCAGGGATGAAAGACTAAAAGCTTTTCCCTGAAGATCAAGAACAAGACAGGGATGCCTGTTTTCACCACCTCTATTCAACATAGTACTGGAAGTTGTATCCAGAGCAATTAGACAAGAAAAGAAATAAAAGGCACCAAAATTGGAAAGGAAGAAGTAAAATTACCTCTTTTCACATTATATGTAGAAAACCCTGCAGAATCAACACACATGCAAACACCGTTAGAGCTAATAAACTAATTCAGCAGTTGCAGGACACAAAATCAGTACTCAAAAATAAGTTGTATTTCTATACACCAGAAATGAATAATCCAAAAAGGAAATTAAGAAAACAATTCCAATTACAGTACAATCAAAAAGAATAAAATTCTTAGTAATAAATGTAACCAAAAGAGCAAAAGTTGTACTCCAAAAGACACTGGAGGATACCTACATGTATAGAAAGACATCCCATGTTCACAGATTGGAACACTTTATATTGTTAAGGAGTCAATACTACATAAAGTGGTCTACAGATTCAATGCTATCCCAATCAGAATCATGACTGGTGCCTTGCAGTAATTAATAAACTGATCCCAAAATTCATATGGAAACTCAAGGGACCCTAATTAGCCAAAACAACCTTGAAAAAGAACAAAGTTGTAGGATTCACACATTCCAATTTCACATCTTACAACAAAGTACCAGTAATCAAGACAGTGTGGTGCTGGCAAAAGGTAGACATAGATTAATGGAATAGAATTGAGAGTACAGAAATAAATTCTCACATTTATGATAAATTGAATTTCCAAAAAGGCATCAAGATAATTCACTAGGGAAAGAAGAGTCTTTTCAACAAACGGTGCTGGAACAAGTGGATATACACATGCCAAAAAAATAACATTGGACCTCTTTTTACACTATACACAAAAATTAACTCAAAATGGACCATAGATTTAAATGTAGAGCTAAACAATAAAACTCTTGAAGAAAATATAGGAGTAAGTCTTTCCATCCTCGGATAAGACAAAGTCTTCTTATATATGACACCAAAAGCACAAGCAACAAGAAAAAAATAGATCGATTGAACTGCATCAAGTTTTTTAACTTTTGTGCTTCAAAGAATACCATCAAGAGAGTAAAAAACAACCCATAGGATTGGAGAAAATATATGCAAATCATATATCTGATAAGAGACTTGTATCCACAATATATAAAGAACTCTTACAACTCCATAATAAAGAGAGAAATAAGCCAAATAAAAATGGGCAAAGGATGTGAATAGACATTTCTCCAAAAATACAAACAAATGACCGATAAGTACATGAAAAGATGATCAACATCATTAGCTGTCAGGGAAATGCAAATCAAAACCACAATCACATACCACTTTATACCCACTTTACAGTCACATGCCACTTTATAATCAAAAAGACAAATAATAACAAGTGTTAGTGAGAATATGCAGAAATCGGATCTCTCATATATTGCTGATTGGAATGTGAAATGATGCAGCCACATTGGAAAAGTCAAGCAGTTTCTCAAAGTGTTAAACATAAAGTTACCATATGACCCCACAATTTGACTTCTAAGTACATATTATACATGTTCACACAAAAAATTCTACATAAGTGTTCATAGTGACATTATTCATAATATCCAAAAATGGAAGCAACTCAATATTCATCAGCTGATGAATGGATAAACAAAATGAGGTATATCCACACAATAGAATATTATTTGTCCATAAAGGAATGAGGTAATCATACACAGTACTACACAAGTGAACCCTGAAAACATTATGCTAGTGAGAAAAAGCAGTCACAAAATACCACTGTTGTATGATTCCACTTACATGAAATGTGAAGAAAAGGCAAATCTAGAGAGACAGAAGACATATTAGTACTTACTTAAGGCTAAGGGGATTGAAAGAAATGTGGAGTGACTAATGGGCATGGGATTTATTTTTGTGATGATGACAATGTTCTAAAACTGATTATGGTGATGACTGAAAAGTTCTTTGAATTCACTAAAAAATATTGACATATACTTTAAATGGGTGAATCGTGTGGTATGTAAATTATATCT